TTGGATGTCAGGCTAATATCCTGTGGCTCCAGGCCTAACTATCTAATTATGTGTTTGGTCTTTCTGGCTCGAACAACACCCACCCTGAGTCATCGAGTTAGCATAAACGATCCAGGGGTCCACCATGAGTCACTGAGTTAGCATAAACTATCAAGTGTGTTCTGTCTAACATCATACGCAAAAATAAACTTGGAATGAATTAAAGACCTGAATGTAAGGCCAGATACTATAAAACTCCTAGAGGAAAACCTAAGCAGAACACTCTAAGATAAATCTCAGCAATATTTTTTTGGATCCATCTCCTAGATGAATGGAAATAAAAACAAAAATGAACAAATGGGACCTAGTTAAACTTAAAAGCTTTTGCACAGCAAAGGAAATCATAAACAAAATGAAAAGAGTCTACAGAATGGGAGAAAATATTTGCAAGTGATGCTACTAGCAAGGGATTAATTTCCAAAATAAACAAATAGTTCATGCAGCTCTACATCAAAAAAGCAACTCAATCAAAATGTGGGCAGAAGATCTAAATGGATGTTTCTCCAAAGAAGACAGACGGATGGCCAACAGGCACATGAAGAGATGTTCAATATCACTAATTATTAGAGGGCTGCAAATCAAAACTGTAATGAGATATTACCTCACGTGTGTCAGAATGGCCATTGTCAAAAAGTCTACAAATAATAAATGCTGGCATGGATGTGGAGGAAAATGAACTCTCCTATACTATTGGTGGGAATGTAGGTTGGTTTCAGCCACTATGGAGAACAGTATGGATGTTCCTTAAAAAAATTAAGAATAGAGTTCCTATGTAATCCTGCAATCTTGGACATATATCCAGAGCAAACTTGAATTCAAAAAGATAACTGCACCCCACTGTTCGTAGCAGCACTGTTCACAATAGCCAAGACATGGAAGCAACCGAAATGTCCATCAAAAGATGAATAAATAAACATGTGGTATATATATACAAAGGAATACTACTCAGTCATTAAAAAAATGAAATAATACCATTTGTAGCAACATAGATGGACCTGGATATTATCATATTAAGTGAACTAAGACAAAGAAAGACAAATATCTGATATCACTTATTGTGGAATCTTAAAAAATGATACAGATGAGCTTATTTACATAAGAGAAACAGACTCATGGGTATAGAAAACAAATGTACAATTGTTAATGTTATTCAGTCGCTAAGTCATGTCTGATTCTTTGCAGCCCCATGGACTCAGCATGCCAGGCTTCCCTGTCCTTCACTATCTCCTGGAGTTTGCTCAAATTCATGTCCATTGAGTCAGTGATGCTATCCAACCATCTCATCCTCTGCCAGCCGCCTTCTCATTTTGCCCTTAAGCTTTCCCAGCATCAGGGTCTTTTCCAATGAGTCGCCAGTTCCCATCAGGTGGCCAAAGTATTGGAGCTTCAGCTTCAGCATCAATCCTTCCAATGAATATTCAGGGTTAATTTCCTTTAGGATTGACTGGTTTGATCTCCTTGCAGTCCAAGAGACTCTCAAGAGTCTTTTCCAGCACCATAATTTGAAAGCATCAATTCTTTGGCACTCAGATTCTTTATGGTCCAACTCTCACATCCACACATGACTGCTGAAAAAACCATAGCTTTGACCATACGGACCTTTGTTAGCAAAGTGATGTCTCTGTTTTTCAATATGCTTTCTAGGTTTGTCATAGCTTTCCTTCCAAGAAGCAAGTGTCTTTTAATTTCATGGCTGCAGTCACTGACCACAGTGATTTGGGAGCCCAGGAAAATAAAATTTGTCACTGCTTCCACTTTTTCCCCTTCTACTTGCCATGAAGTGATGGGACCGGATGCCATAATCTTACTTTTTTTTAAGGATGAATTTCAAGCCGACTTTTTCACCCTCCTCTTTCACCTTCACCAAGAGGCTTTTTAATTCCTCTTTACTTTCTGCCATTAGAGTGGTATAATTTGTATATCTGAGATTGTTGATATTTCTCTAAGCAATCTTCATTCCAGCTTGTGATTCATCCAGCCCAACATGATGTACTCTGCAAATAAGTTAAATAAGCAGGGTGACAATATACAGCCTTGACATACTCCTTTCCCAATTTTGAACCAGTCCGTTGTTCCATATCCGGTTTTAACTGTTGCTTCTTGACCTACATACAGATTTCTCAGGAGGCAGGTAAGGTGGTTTGGTATTCCCATGTCTTTTAAAAATTTTCCACAGTTCATTGTGATCCACACTGACAAAGGCTTTCGAATAGTCAATAAAGCAGAAGTAGATGTTTTTCTGGAATTCTCTTGTTTTCTGTATGATCCAAGGAATATAGGCAATTTGATCTCTGGTTCTTCTGCTTTTTCTAAACCCAGTTTATACATCTGGAAGTTCTCAGTTCAAGTACTACTGAAGCCTAACTTGAAGAATTTTTATCATTACCTTGCTAGCATGTGAAATAAGCACAATTTTAGGGTAGTCTGAACATTCTTTGGCATTGTCCTTCTTTGAGATTGAAATGAAAATTGACCTTTTCCAGTCCTGTGGCCACTGCTGAGTTTTCCAAATTTGCTGGCATATGAGTGCAGCACTTTAATAACATCATCTTTTAGGATTTTATGTAATTGTGAATAAATCTAAATGCATGTTGAGGGAACTTCCCTGGTGATCCAGTGCATTTCCACTTCAGGGGCACAGGTTTGGCCCCTGGTTGAAGAACTAAGATCCCACATGCCATGCTGCACAGCCAAATGGTCAGATAACAATTAAAAAACAATAAGAAACTAAAAAGAAGAATTTTTTAAGAAAAGTTTAAAAATAATAAGAATGACAAGAAAATAATATAAAAAATAAAAATGTAAAGAAAAGATTAAAAAAGGAAAAAAAATAATAAATGCATGTTGAATTTTTTGAAACACTAGTAATAATGTAAAGTATTTCTGAAGTTGAAAATAAAAAGTCTAGAACTTTAAAATTAGTGTGGTGGCTGCAGTTGAGCAGATATCTCCGCAGTATAGAAGACCGACCAGGTCCCTGATGTCTGTGTGTCAGGCTGGGGACGTGACGTGAAAAAGCTGAGTGAACAAACCCCTCTGCAGCCTCCCCTCTGCAGCACATGCTCTGAAGGCGGGGTGTATAGCAAGGAGCTGGAAACTGGGAAGGTGTACATGGCTAGAAAGATGCTGCAGGTGACGCCTGAGGAGGGAGCTGGCCTTGAGACAAAGAGTGGGGTCAGTGGGGACTGGAGAGACAGAGCCAGTGGGTGAGCACAGCTGACTTCTGCATCAATAAGATTTGGAGCTTCCAGGGGATCGTGTTTCAGAAGTGGTTTTGCAGCTGCCATCCGGCCTCCTTAACAGCTGAACCTGTGTGTCCAGGTGCACTGGGCCCAGCCCAAGTGTGTGAAAATCTGCTATTCTGTTTTATTTTTTTCTGGCTGCATTGCCCAGCACCTGGGAATCTTAGTTCCCTGAACAGAGATTGAACCCACACCCACTGCAGTGGAAGCATAGACTCTTAACCCCTGGACCACCAGGGAAGCCCATATTTTTGTTTTTTTGTGTTTTTTAAATATGTATTCATTTATTTATCTTACTTGACTGTGTTGGGTCTTAGTTGCATCATGTGGGATCTTTTGTTCTGGCACAGGGGCTCCCTAGTTGTGGCGTGTGGGCTCTGGAGCCTGTAGGCTCAGGAGTCACATGTGGGACCCTAGTTCCCAAACCAGGGAGTGAACCCAAGCCCCCTGCAGTGGAAGTGCAGAGCCTTACCCACTGGGGGAGTCCCTATTTTTTTTAATATTTTTTGAATTTATTTATAGGTATTATTTTTGGCTGTCCTGGGTCTTCGTTGTTCCTCAGGCGTTTTTCTAGCTGTGGAGAGCAGAAGCTACTCTCTAGTTGCAGGGCTTGGGCTCCTCACTGCCGTGGCTTCTTTCGTTGTGGAGCACAGGCTCTAGGGCACGTGGGCTCCGGTAGTCGTGGCTCCCAGGCTTTAGACCACAGGCTCAGTAGTTGCGGTACATGGGCTTAGTTGCTCTGCAGCATGTGCACGCCCACATTCTAAGCAGCGTTATTCACAATGGCGCAGCCAAATAAATAAAAAAATGTTTTAAAGAAAATGATAAATCCCATGAGGGCAGGACTGGAACTCTTTGCTGCCTCCCAGTGCCAGAGATTTTATTGGATGCAGAGTGGAGAATATTTTTTTAAAAAAGATCTTCCAGTATTGAGGCACTTGGTATATTGTCAAGGATCAGGCTGTGAATGTGCCTCTGATGAAGGCTTGGGTCCTCAGTATGAATCAGCTGGCCGCTAACATAGCTGCTGTCCATAATGAATTCTCTTCCTCTGAAGATGATGAACCACTGCAGTGGACAGAATGCATCCCCCCAAATTCATATGTTAAGTTGCTAACACCTAAGATGCTGGTATTAGGGGGTGGGGCCTTTGGGAAGGGGTTAAGTCAGGAGGGTGGATCCCCCATGAGTGGAATTAGTGCCCTTGTAAAAGAAACCCCAAAGAATTGATGCTGTCAAACTGTGGTGCTGGAGAAGACTCTTGAGAGTCCCTTGGACTGCAAGGAGATCAAACCACTCAATCCTAAAGGAAATTGAAAAAAAGAAAAAAAATATATATAAAGGAAATTGACCCTGAATATCCATTAGAAAGACTGATGCTGAGGTGAACTTTTTTGTTCTTTTTCTTTCTTCTTTTGTGTTTGTGCTCTAAGACAAAGGCGGCAAACATCTCTGCTTTATCAGGCTGTGGATCTGTAACAAACCTTCATCAGAGGGTGAACTGGAAGATTTTCCTGATAACTTCTCTGGCGATTTTGCAGATTGCATCTTCACAGTGGTTCCAGGAGATATTCGTGGACTGTAGAAACGCAAACTAGCACAGAATTTGTAGCAGTCACGTGTCCTTGGAGCTGTTGGCATATTAATTTCTTCTCACCCTTTTTGCCAGGATGATAGCTAGAATGATTGCTGCTCAGAGGACCAGGCCCAGCTGTCTCCATGGTAACATTATACCTTACCAGTGTCGCTCGCACTGCTCCAAGAACACGGTTCGTAGGATCAGTCCCAGTCATCTCCATGGTAACATCGTACCCTACCAGCATCACCTTCATCTCCCCAAGAACGTGGTTGCACAGGGACCAAGGCAGACCTGCAAGGGAAAAAGGTACCTTCACAGTTTGACTCTCCATTTAAACAATCTCCATCTCTGTAGATCAAGTTCACTAGGTTTTAAGAGCAGAAAGTTTCTTAATAGATCTCAACTGTTTTGCAAGCTGGCATTTCAAAGCAGAGCTTCACAGAAGAATGGCCTGAAATCCTACAGGTGAAAGTATCTTCCAGCAACCACATGCTGGAGTAGAACAGCCTCCGAGCTCTGGTATCAAGACTAGAGACAATTAGGAATCTTGCTTTTTGAAAAAGATGTAGCATTTTGATGGCAGAAAACCTAAATATAATCTGTGGCTATTGGGACCTCGTGCTCCCCTGCTAGCTCAGTGATAAAGAATCCACCTGCCAATGCAGGAGATGCAGGTTCGATCCCTGGGTCAGGAAGATCCCCTAGAGAAGGAAATGACAACCGACTCCAGTATTCTTGCCTGGGAAATCCCATGGATAGAAGAGCCTGGTGGATACAGTCGCAAGGAGTCGGACATGAATGAGGGCTGCCCTGGGTCTTAGTTGAGGTATGAGAGCCTCTGACTTCAAAGGCTTTCTTGTAGTAGAGTATGGGCTCTAAGTGCATGGGCTTCACTGCTTGCAGCTTGTGAGCTCAGTAGTACTGGCACACGGACTTAGTTGCTTCATGTCATGTTGGATCTTCCCGGACCTGGGATGGAACCCGTGTCCTCTACATTGTAAGGTGATTCTTAACCCCTGGACCACCAGGGAAATCTTGAGGCTAATGTATTTGAACATTTATTGATTGATGTTCTTTGACACATGACGTCTGAAGATGTGATTCTGTGACACCAACAACTGAAAAACAGTGGGATGGAGCCGTGAAGAGGTGGTTTTGTGTGTTATTGACATTAAGCTGGTAGGAATCCAAATTTGAGTATTATAACTTTAGGATGTTGAATGTGATCCCCATGGTAACCACAAAGAAAATGGCTATAGAATATACACAAAAGGAAATAGGAGAGGCATTTAAATGTTTCACTAAAAAAATTAAACACAAAAGAAAACGTAATGCAGGAAATGAAAGACGAAAGAGCTGTAAGATACATAGAAAACAATTATCACTGTGACAGAAGTAAGTCCTTCTTTATCAGTAGTTGTTAAGAATAAAGGAATTTCTAGGACTTCCCTGGTGGTCCAGAGGCTAAGACTCCTCACTCCCAATGCAGGGGGCCCCAGGTTGATCCCTGGTTGGGGAGCTAAATCAGCAACTAAGAGTTCAAATGTCACAGCTATAAAGACTCCACATGCCCCAGCTAAGATCAAAGATCCAACATGCCACAACTAAGATCTGCCACAGCCAAATATATAAATAATAAGAAAAAATTTTTAATGAATGATGAAACTTCTGACATTTGCTACGACATGAACAAACCTAGAGGACATGATACTCGGTGAAATAAGCCAGACATGAAAGGACAAATACTGTAAGATTTCTCTTATGGGAGGTCCCTAGATTCATAGAGACAGAAAGTAGGTAGGCGGGGGCCAGTGACTGGGGGAGGGGGGTGCGGAGTGAATGTTTAAACGGGACAGAGTTTCACTTTGGGAAGATGAAAAGAGTTCTGGAGATGGATAGTGGGGAGGGTTGCACGACAATGTGAATGTACTTACTGTTACCGAACTACATACTTAAAAATAGCTAACACAGTAGATTTTATGTTGTGTATATTTTGCTGCAAGATCAAACCAGTCAATCCTAAAGGAAATCAACCCTGAATATCCATTGAAATGACTGATGCTGAAGTTGAAGCTCCAATATTTTGTCCACCTGATGCGAACAGCCGACTAATTAGTAAAGACTTTGACGCTGGGCAAAATTGAGGGCAAAAGGAGAAGGTTGTGGCAGAGGATGAGATGGTTAGGTACCATCACCGACTCAATGGACATGAGTTTGAGCAAGCTCTGGGAGACAGCAGAGGACAGGGGAGCTGGCGTGCTGCAGTACACGGGGTCGCAAAGAGTCCGACACGCTTTAGTAACTGAACAACAACAAAAGTTTTACCATGATAAAAGTTTTAAATAAAAGAAGAAATGAGCTGTTTATCTTTAATGAGGACAGAGTTTCAGTTTCACAAGATGCGAAGAGTTCTGTAGATGATAGTTGACTATGGCCACACAACAATGTGACTGTATGTACTGTATGTACACTATACCACTGAACGGGACACTTAAAAATGATCACAATGTAAACATTATGTATGTGTGAGTGTGTGCCTGAGTGTGTGCTCAGTCGCTTCGGTCATGTCCGACTCTTTGCGACCCTATGGCCCGCCAGACTCCTCTGTCCACGGGATTCTCCAGGCAAGGATTCTGGAGTGGGTTGCCACACCCTCCTCCAGGGGATCTTCTTGACCCAGGGATCAAACCCATGTCTCCTGCATCTCCTGCACTTGCAGATGGATTCTTTATTCACTGAGCAACCTGGGAAGCCCAAATGTTATGTATATTTCACCACAATTAACAAAAGAGCATATTGAAAAACAAAAAGAAGAAAAAGAACCATCAAACCATGAAAAGACATGGAGGTACCTTAAGTGCCCATATGCTACATAAAAGAAGGCAGTCAGAAAACACTGTATACCATATGACTCCAACCATAGGACATTCTGGTACCAGGCTCTTCTGTCCGTGGGATTTCCCAGGGAAGGATACTGGGTTGCCATTTTCTTCTCCAAAAGAGATGGTAAAACCTCAGTAGTTGCCAGGAGGTTGGACAGAGGGAGAAACAGGTGGAGGCCTGGGGATTTTTAGGGCAGTGGAACTCTTCTGTACAATACTGGGTGGATAGTCATCATTATTTTTCAAAAGTCATAGAACTGAACAACACCAAGCGTGAGACCCACTCTAAATTATGGGCTTTAACTAATAATGCATCAATCTTGTTGTTGTTCAATAGCTCAGTTGTGTCCAACTCTTTGTGACCCCTTGGACTACAGCACGCCAGGCTTCCCTGTTCTCTACTATCTCCCGGAGTTTGCTCAAACTCACATCCATTGAGGTTCAGTCTTACTTCATTCTTTAGCACAGCTGCACCACACTCCTGCAAGATGTTAATAACTGAGGAAACTGGAGGGGAGGAGTAGGGGAATTGAGCAGGTATATGGAAACTCTGTATTCATTTCTCAGTATTTCTGTAAGCCTAGAACTATAAAACAAAGGGTTATTAATTTTTACAAAATACATAGGCCATCTCAGCTACCAAGGACCAAATCCAGCTTGGTACCAGGGCCCAAGACCACGTGACCTGGTGGTCTTAGCCCACCCACACTGTGTCCTCTGCCTGGGACGCCCCTACCTACCCCTGAGGTCTCCTCCATCCTGGGCTGGACTCCCCTGCAAACTTCACGACCTCTGGCCCCTGGAGGCAGGGGGCTATTTAGGTAAGATTTTTGTTTGTATGTTTTGTACCCTTTTTTTTTCCCTTAAGCCACACTGCATGCCCTGTGGGATCTGTAACCTGTCCAGGGATTGAACCTGGGTCCCCGGCAGTGGAAGCCTGGAGTCCTAACAACAGGACCTCCAGGAAATTCTTTTTTTTTTTTTTTAATTTTAATTTTATTTTTTTATGTATTTCTTTTCGCCTACACTGTGTCTTCATTGCTGCCTGTGGGCTTCCTCTAGTTGCAGTGAGCAGGGGCTACTCTCTAGTTGCAGTGCATGGGCTTCTCATTGTGGTGGCGTCTTTGTTTCTGAGCACAGGCTCTAGGGTGCCTGGGCTTCAGCATTCAGGCTCAGTAGTTGTGGCTCTGGGCCCTGGAGTGTGGGTTTGGAAGTTGTGGCACATGGCACCGATGTGTGAGGACCAGGGATCAAACCCATGTCCACTGCATTTGCAGGCAGATTCCTATCTACTACGCCACCAAGGAAGTTCCCCAGGGTTTTTTTTTTACATCTATATTACAGTTGATGTATAATATTATATAAGTTACAGGTGTACAATATAGTGATTCATGATGTTTAAATGTTATACTTCATTATAGTTATAAATTATTGGCTTTATTTCCCATGCATGTGAGTTCAGTCACTTAGTCGTGTCCAATGCTTTGTGACTCATAGATGGCAGCTTGCCATGCTCCTTTGTCCACAGAATTTTCCAGGCAAGAATACTGGAGTGGGTTCCCATTTCCTTCTCCAGGGGATCTTCCTGACCCAGGGATCAAACCCATGTAGCCTGCATCTCAGGCATCGGCAGGTGGATTCTTTACCACTGCACCACCTGTTCAATATACCCTTGTAGCTTATTTTACACTGGTTGTACTTCCTACTCTGCTTCCATTATGTTGCCACTTACCCCATCCCTCTCCACACTGGTAATCACTGGTAACCACTAGTTCCCCAAGCAGGGATTGAATCCATGCCCTCTTCAATGGAAGCATGGAGTCTTAACTGCTGAACAGGTAGGAAAGTCTCTAGTTTTTTCTCTATTGATAAGATGTGTGAGTGTCTGAGGAGCCCAAGTGCCACGGGGGGTGGACAAGAGCTAGATTTCATTTAAGTCCTCTTTTGAGTCAATTTATCTTTGTCCAAATTGCTCTGGATTCACCAGAATGAGCTGATATCATTTTCCTTAAAAGGGGCTGAGGACGAGAGACTAGGAAATAAGAAATGATAAACAGTTTAAAAGCTCCAGCTTCCAGAATTCCCTGGCAGTCCAGTGGTTAGGACTCTGTGCTTCCACTGCAGGGGGCACAGGTTTGATCCCTGGTGGGGGAACTAAGATCCCACATGCAGTGAGGCACGGCTAAATACATAAATTTAAAGTTCCAGCTTCACTCACGTTTTCATGGGAACACTTACAAGGCTTTGTTGTTATTCAGCCACTCAGTCATGTCTGACTCTGTGACTCCATCAACTGCAGCACACCAGGCTTCCCTGTCCTTCACCATCTCCCTGAGTTTGCTCAAACTCATGTCCATTGAGTCAGTGATATCATCCAACCATCTCATCCTCTGTGGTCCCCTTCTCCTCTTGCCTAATTTTCTCTCAATAGGATTCAGTGTATAATAATTTATTATGAATTCAGAATTAAAAACCTATTTGTAAGCTTCCCAGGTGGCTCAGTGGTAAAGAATTTGCCTACCAATGCAGGAGTCACGGGTTCAATCCCCGATCCAGGAAGATCCCACATGCTGGAGCGACCGAGCCCTGCTCCACAACTACTGAAGCCTGTGCTCCATGAGAGAAGTCACCATAGTGAGAAGCCTGCGCACGGCAGCTAGGGAGTCGTCTCCTTTCGCCACAGGTAGAGAAAAAGCCCGCACAGAAACTGCAGACCCAGCACAGCCCCCCAAAATTTTAATTAAAAAATAAATATTTGTAGGCATAAGATTCCTTTTTCTGTGCTTAGTCGCTCAGTCGTGTCTGATGCTTTGCAACCCCCTGGAATGTAGCCCGCCAGGCTCCTCTGTCTATGGGGATTCTCCAGGGAAGAATACTGGAGTGGGTTGTCATGCCCTCCTCCAGGGGATCTTTCCAACCTAGGGATCAAACCCAGGTCTCTGGCATTGCAGGCAGATTCTTTACCATCTGAGGCACCAGGGAAGTTCTTATTCTGAGCCCTTAATAAATACATTCTGAAAAAGATCGGTCAGTATTTCTGGAACAGGCGCTATCTTCCCTAAAGTGCCCTGACAACACAGGGTGAAAACAAGGCATGCTGCACACACCTGGGGAGGCAGATCCACCCGCTGCCTTCAACAGCCACTTAACATGGTCACTATAAAGGGGAGGGGGACCTCAGACCCAAGGATCCCAAGCCACCTCCCTCCTGCTGGGCCCCTTATTTCTCATCCAACCAGACACAAGCATCCTTGGGCCAGGGATTGCCATCCCGGGAAATCAGACTTAAGGCTGCTTTTCCTCCCTGCTCCCCACCCCCCACCCACCAACACCAAGCTCATCTCTACAGATGGCAGATCCAGCTGACTCTTCAGTTAGCTTCTTTGGGGGCAAGATTCTGGACAAGCCCCATAAATGCTGAACTACAAACCACCCCATATACACCCTGATTACACCCTGACCCATCTATCCTTCCCCCATCCCTTCCAGGGACAACATCCAGTCATGAAACCCTGCTTTTTAATCTAAAGAAAACAAATCCAACTTAATTTCTCCCACCAGTAGTTCCCCCATAACCCTGTGTGTATGTGTGTGTGTGTGTGTTAGTTGCTCAGTCGTGTCCAACTCTTTGTGACACCATGGATTGTAGCCGCCAGGCTCCTCTGTCCATGGGATTCTCCAGGCAAGGATACTGAAGTGGGTTGTCATTTCCTTCTCCAGCCCCAGGGTATCTTCCTGATCTAGGGATCGAACCTGGGTCTCCTGCATTGCAGGCAGATTCTTTACCATCTGATCCACAGGGGAAGCCCACCAGATCAATCCTAGTTGGAGGCAAAGACCCAGTCTACTCTAGTGCAGTAACCATGGGCCAGGATGCAGAGGAAATGACTGGTGCAGCCCTGGTGAGAGAGAAGAGGTTCTGGCGCCTTCTGGTGGTCATCTCATGCCACAACCCGTCCTGAGCCGCTCCGTGGCGTCGGCTATGATCTGCCCGCAAAATCAGCTCCAAAGATACCTTTTACAATAGGTGAGCGGATATACAAACGGTGGTACATCCAGACAATGGCGTGCAGTGGATGATAAAAATAAACGAGCTGTGGGGGAGGGATGTATTGGGAGTTTTGGATAAATAGATGCAAACTACCGTACATAGAATGGATAAACAACAAGGTCCTACTGTATAGAACTTTCCTGGTGGCTTGGTTGGTAAAGAATCTGCCTGCAATGTGGGAGACCTGGGTTCGAACCCTGGGTTGGGAAGATTCCCTGGAGGTATCTATATCTATCTATCTGTATGTACACACACATATATATTTTTGGCCATACCCCATGCTTGCAGAATCTTAGTTTCCCAACCAGGGATTGAACCTGGGCCTGTGGCAGTGGAGACATGGAGTCCTAACTACTGGACTGCCAGGGAATTCCCTCCCTATTTTAAATTTTTTTTTATTTTAGATCAACATCTTACACTTTATAATGCACTCACAAATTTTTACACAAACTTCATGTTTACAAATACAAAAAGGCAAAGAACCTCAAAGAATCGAAGTCACTGTATCATCGACTACATTCATTAGAATTAATACTGTTGTCCTCGTTCTTCATCTTCTAAATCCAGAAGGAAACCATGAATCCATCCCCCATGTGGACTCCGCTTTCAGAAGTTGGAGACTGGGTGTAGTTCTGCACACGTTTGGGTTTCGACAGAGCTGAACTGAGATTCCATTGTGTTCCAGACCAGATCGGCCAGAAGAAAGTCATCCATTGCTGTCTGAGTTTCATTACTGGTGAAGAATAAGCTCCCCAAATTTTCGAAGCCAGAATTCATGGTCTGTGTTTCAGCACTGTCCAACTGAACTTTCTTTTCCAGGGCAGGCAGATGTTTAGCAGTGGAGATTCCGTCAGTCTGGGTATCTGTGTCAGATGAATCATTACTCAAGGAAAGGCTGGAATATTTCAGGATACTTCCCAGTGGCAGACGAGGGCTACTGTCTAAAAAGAAGTTCAGGTCCATCTGTGTCTGTGTGTCAAAGATTTCAAGGCCTAAGAAGCCAGAATTTCCTCTACAACTGTAGGCCTGAGTAGAGGGGTCTGCAAGGAAGAAGTCAGTTTGGGTTTCTGTGTCCAGTGACTCCAAGACTGGCTCAGTGGTCATGGTGCTAAGCTCACTCTCCTCGGTTTGCGTCTGGATATTTGAGGCTGAAAAGAACTCTTCAATATCAAAATCAATTTCAGGATCCTGGGCTGGGCCAGATGGGAGCTGGGTGTCAGGTCCAGTATTTGTGTCAGACAAAAGACTACAATTGTCCAGCATCTGATCAGGCAGGTTACTTGACGAGATGTTTTCTAGGTCACTTAATAAATCCATGGTCGGGGTCTGATTATCTGTCGTGTTCTATGATGAAAGCATGCTATTCGGTGTACTGAAGTTTATAATTGGTGTGGATTTCTCAATATCTTGAGTTAAAGTTTTAGGGTGGTTCTGAGGTAACAAGTCATGAGTTACAATCTCTGCTACTAAGCCACTGCTTATAATATTGTCTGTAGATACACCATATGATGAATGGACACTCTCAAAAATGTCTCCACACATTACAGCTTGGTCCATCTGTACTCAGTCATCTGCTGGATGCTGCATTCCACTGGTCTGAGTTTCTCTGGAGATCCCACCTGGCTGGAAACTGGCATCTATAAATGCATCAGTCTGAGCAATGATAAATAAGGTTACCTTAGAACTGGGCAAAAAAGTCTGAGTTTGAACACTAATGGGAAGGGAAACCTGGAAACCAAATGTCAAATAAGTTTGTGAACAGGGTGACACAGAGGAGTCAGGGCTGGCCCATGGTGCAAATGGGATGGGTCTGTCTGTACATTGATTGAAGAAATGCTGTTCTTCTGACATGTGTTCCGAGTTCTTGTAATGGGTTAAATGGACTTTTACCCAAGTTCACTTGAACACCTGTGCTAATCAGCTCAACAGCAACAGCATTTACAACTTTTAAGAGAGGAAGGCTCTCCTTGAGAGAGCAGGGCTCCGAAACTAGGCCAAGGATCAGGGTTCCAATGGACAAGGCAAGTAATTTCATGGCACCAGGGGCACAGCCCTGTTGGTTGACACCCAACACCACAGGCTGGGCTGATGAGTCGGCTGTAGGCGCAAAGACAGGCATAGGAGAAAACTGCATGATGGGGAGTTTAACCAAAGCCACTCTGGGCTTTGGTAAAAGCAACATCTGAGGGTACCTTGGAGCTGCTGGAAGAGTCTACTGTTTGGCATTAGAGCTGCAAGAGTCTTCAAAAGAAGCCACCAGCCTTATTTCTGAAGTTTTCTAGTTCTGGAGGGTGTGGTCGTGGAACTGGTTGGTTACTCAGTGATTCAACAGTCTTACTGGACAGCTTCTGGCTGTGCAGGCAGTTTTCCATTTTCCTTTCCTTACTAGGTGGATCCCTGTGTTCGGCAGGGATCTCATGGCCAGTTCGGTAGATGTGGGGCTGTAACACAGTCCTGCTGGCACAGGGACAGCCACATGTGCACTGGAAGGTCTTGCCGCAATCCTCTGCATGTCTTCAGGGCCCACTCAGTGCCATACGGACTGCTGCACTTACTACATTTATGCTTCTTTTCAGCATGCATCTTCATAAAGTGCTGTTTTACGAGAGAAAATTGAGAAAATGGTCTGCCAGGGCCTCTAGGGCATCATTCAATTGGACAACAGTAGAATTTCGGTACAATGGCAACCCACTCCAGTACTCTTGCCTAGAAAATCCCATGGGCAGAGGAGCCTGGTAGGCTACAGTCCATGGAATTGCTAAAAGTCGGACACGACTGAGCGACTTCACTTTCACTTTTCACTTTCCTGCATTGGAGAAGGAAATGGCAACCCACTCCAGTGTTCTTGCCTGGAGAATCCCAGGGACAGGGGAGCCTGGTGGGTTGCCGTCTATGGGGTCACAGAGTCGGACATGACTGAAGTGACTTAGCAGCAGCAGCCGTAGAATTTCGGTACGGTTTTCAAAACTTTTCTTATTCTTGGATTCACTGTGCCATCCCACAGGCGGTGCATGTTGAGCGCGGGGCTGTTGGGCAGGATCTCACTGCAGCTGTGCACCATGCACGGGATGTTGGTCCTCACGGCCCAGGACAGCTCGCTCACCAGCGGCTGGAAGAGCTCCGGGGCTGGCGACACTGAGCCCATGGGCTGCTGCCTCGCCACCGTGGGTCGGGGTTGGCTGCCTCTCAGCTGCCTGGGGGGACCCCAAGGACCTGAGGCTGCGGCGGCACCCCTTGCGGCCGCCGGGACAGCCGGGGCACCCGAGGCGAGAGCCGCGGGATCCGCCTCCACTGCCTCAGAGGCCGCCATGGCTCTCGCGCCACAGCTGGACCCCTGTTGTGAATTTTGAGCTTTTTAAGCTTACATGCTTTTCTGGTTAGGACCTGCACTTGCCGGTGCTGGGTGACACCAGTCCCTGGTCACCTTCCCCTACCTGGGGACAAGATGCTCCTCTTCCATGCCTGGCCTTCAGGTGTATGGGCTCAGTGCTGTCCCTGACCTCTGACCTGGCCCCCATTGTGGGGTGGAAAGGCAGCAACCCCTCAGTTCTGCCTGCTGCCCACACCCACTCTGTTTCATGCCTGTAGGTGTTCGTTCGGAGGCCCCTGTGTCTCTGACCTGCTCTGACCCCCGCCTGCCCTGTTCCATTTCTTCTGCCCTGTCCCTGGGTGCATTTCCATCAAGGACACACATCTCTAGCAGCGAGAGGTCTGATGGGTAAAAGCATCATCTCGTCTCTTCTAGATTCTTTGGGGACAGAGGCCCCCGGGTGGGTGACTCCAGCCTTCCTGGCAGAGGTGATGCTGAACCCCCAGTACTGAACAACAGCTGGGATTTGCAGTGCCTTCGGGGCTCCAAGGAGGGAGTGGGCTGCAGCCAGAGGTGCCCATGTCCCTGTGAGGAGTCTCAGAGCTTCCACACCTGACCCAGAGGAGAGCACAAAGGAGGGAAGAGAGGATGCAGGAGAGGAGATGGATGGAAGATGGAGGCAGAGGACAGAAGAGTACAGGAGGATGGATGTAGAGGGAGGAGTGTGAATGGGACAGAGGAGTTGAGACAGGAAGAGGAGGAAGTGCAGGAAACAGAAAGGGGGAGGAGGAGGGGGAGGCTGGCAGGAAGCAGGAGTGGGAGGACGACCAGTGGCTGAGGTGGATGGTGAGGGGAGGGTCTGGGGGTGGGGGACATGTGGAGAATGGAGGAGGAGGAAGGGGCTGGGGCTGGCCGAGGACTGTACAGCAGCTGATGGAGGGGTAGGGAGGATGGAGAAGTGATGGAAGCTGAGGGGAAGAGGTGGGGGGATGCAGGGGTGGGGGTGTGGATGGAGGAGGATGAGGGGAGAAGGGCAGAGCTTTGGCATCTCCAGAGCCCGGTGGGTTCAAGCCTGTGCCCGTGTCCTGGACCCCAGAGGCATTCTGTCTGTCCTGCCCCAGATCAGGCAAGCTGGCCACATGAGTTCGTGTGGCCTGTGGGCTGGGGGGTGGGGACCCAGGGCCTCCCCCTGTGCAGTGCACAGTCCCCCATCCTCTCACTGTGTCACCAGCTCTACACTCTCCAGCCATGTTCTTGATGGTTTTCTGTGCAAGTCCAGGAACTGAGGCCCTTCCCCCTTGGCCTTGTTCAGACTTGTGGACTGAAGGGTGGTCTCAGCAGCACAGAGAGGCTGCCTGAGGTTAAATAAGTCATTCTTTTCCCAAACGAACACCCTTCTGATCGGCTGGTGTGTTGCCTGAGCCCATTCACCAGCCAGGGTCAGTGAGTTAGGTCCATTATGAGAAGGTGTGTCTCTTCCTAGTGCCCTTGGTCCCCAGTCCTTGCTCTGCCTCCCGAGAGGGGCCATCCTGTGGGGGGTGCGGGGGGTGGTGAGGGGGGCGTGGTCCCAGGAAGAGCCCCATGGGCAGTGGCTCAGGGCTGCTGCCCTAGAACATGAGAGCCCCTGGTTGTGTTTTAATCTAAGTGAAGTCTCTGCCACTTTCAGGGCTCCTGGGCAAATCGGGCTCAAAGAGCTTTCTCTGAAATTCACACATCATCCACTTTAGCTCAAGTAGACCATTCAGAGGTCTTTATTTTACAGACTCCTGCTACTGTCCCTACTACATCCTCCTGTCACCACCTCATAAAAGTCTCTTATCCATCAGCAGATACCCACCCCTTGCCCATCCCCCAGCCCTGGGGACCCTCGATCCAGTTTCTGTCTGTATGGGCCTGGCGATGCTAGACACTTCAAATCAATGGAATCATACAATATATGGTCTCTTGTACCTGATTTCTCCCATCCACAGTGTAGCTGGGGTCACCATTTCCTGCATGCAGTACAGGAGTGTTCCAATCTCTCCACATCCTGTTATTGGGAATAAAGTTTCCAGGGATGAGTAGTAGTGTGCCCTGTGGTCTTGATTTGCATCTCCCTGATGGTTGATGAGGTTCCGCAACTCCCCCTGAGACTGTTGGCCTTGTTTTCTAAAGCTGGGTGGACTTTGGAGAAAGGTCTACCCCTGTCCTGAAGTCTAGAAGTGGAAGTATTAGGTGTGGATGCAAGCCATGATCGCCAAGGGGGAATCCCACCCACTAAGGAGGCACTAAGGTCTGATTTCTCCCCCTATGACCAGGAAGCTGCCAACAGGAAGCCAACTTCCACTTGCTGGGTCCCTGAAGCTCTTTAGGGCACTGGAATACATGGATTTTGTCTTGCAGCATCCAACATGGAGAAGCTGGAGACCCTACTAGCCTTGGAATGAGAAGAAATTATAACAAAATATGAGGTGAGACCCCAACAGGGATCATAGACAAGAGAAGGTGCACCCAGGCAGGGATCTGAGCCAAAGACAGGCAGCTGAGACCCAGCAGGGATCCTAGCCAGTTGGAACTGGTATCACCCATCAGAAAAGGTACATTCCCCAAGTGGGAATCACTGCAGCCCAGGTGAGCATCCTAGCCCAGAGAAGCAGGTATGTCCCAGGAGGAATCAGCGCCAAGGATAAGCGGGGGAGACCAGGCCGAGCTCGTCCCCGGGTAGACCAGGGAAGGCCACGTAAGGGTGGTCGCCAGTAGGAACAGGTACAGCTCAGGCCGGGAGCACAGTCAGCATGCAGCAGGCGAGGCCCAGATGGGCCATGACAGCCCACACGGCCCGCAGGAGAAGGGATGTCCCTGGTGGATGATCCCACCGAGGAGGAGCAGGTGAGGCCCAGGTGGGGCCCATTGCCAGATGTGCACAGGTACAGCCCAGTGGGAACCATGGGCAGCAAGAGCGCTCACATTTCAGGTAGGGGTCACAGCCAAGGCTGAGCAGAGCGAGCCTGAGTGTACATCCTCCCCAGGACAAGCAGGTATGGCTCAGGTGGGGGTCTCCACAAATGGGACCAGGTGGCCCAGGCAGGATCCTAGCCCAGGCAGATCCCACTGAATCAGGCAGGCCTGGTGCTGTGCCCCTGGGATGCAGGGTGGGGAGTTGTCCTGCTCTGCCTTTCCTGGCATCTCTCGGCCCCCTCTGGCTTTGGGGCCATGCAAGGTCTCCAGAGGAAGCAGGGGAGGATGCGGACCTCTCACTGTACAGTGTCATCAACAGGCTACGTTCCTTGCTGTGAGTCACTGGGACGCCCCTCTTTCCCATCCTGGGGGTGGGTTTCCATTGGCAGAAAGACCTCTCTGCAGAATAAGAAGGGGAGGGACCCCTGGTGGCCATGGCAGGCCATGGCGCTGATGCGTCCAAGAGCAGAGGTGGGCTCCGGGTGGGTTCTCCACGCACGTCTGGCTCTTGCAGGAGGTGGGCTACTTCCAGGGCATGAATGAGGTCGTGGCCATCCTCCTGATGTTCCTGACACCTTCTGGGGTTGTTCCAGCTGATGACTGATGAGAAGACCACCATGCGCAGTAGGTGTCTGCCGGGGACGGCTGGGCAAGCCTCAGGACCTGGGGTCTCTTTGCAGGGGGGCTGGTGGGGACCCTGGCCCAGGCTACCTCCCCATCAGCAAAGGGCACTGGCTCGCCACACTGCCCTTTGGGTTCTGGAGCCTCGGCCCTCAGTCCCAGCCTCATCCAGACCACCCTTCCTTCCTTCCCTGCTGGTCCTTCTGCCTCAAGCCTGCCATCCACCAGGCGCCTGCAAGCCCACGGCCAATGAAGCCCAGGCAGCAGCACCACCTCCTCTGCCCCCAGCGGAGTTGCAGAGGCCAGGAGATGGCCAGGCACACACCCCCATCTCCCCTGGGGGCCACACTCCCTACCCCTCCATACCAGGCCCGCCATCCCCCACCGTGGCTGCTGTGGGGACAGCATGCCGGGGCCAGATGCCTGCCCACCCCTCTGCCCAGGGTGCCAGCTGAGCTGGGCATCCAGGAGCAGGGCCTCTGCCCTGGCCTCACAGGCTGTCCTGCCTGGGAATAACATGTCCAGCCAGGGCTCAAGAGGGCCCCACAGGCGGGGGTCACCACTGGGGGCTCCTGTGGTACTCCATTCCCCTCTGGGCCAGGCTCTGACTTGTGGGGGTCTGGGGGCTCCTCAGGCTTCTTCATCCCTGGATTCCTGAAATTGCTAAGATTCCAGGCCCATCACAAGCACATTCTCGGCAGAGCCCTCCCCAAGTTGAAGGGATATGTGCTGTTGCCCTGCCCAGAGGTGCTGTCCTGTGGCCACTGCGGGGACTTGGCTTCCTGCAGGCTTCATTCGCCTTCTCCTGGGGGCGGCCAGGGGTGAGCTCGGGCTGAGCAGGCCCATGGACAGCATGTCCACCACCCCTGAGGGTGGCTGTACAGGGCCCTCAAATAGGGAGGTTTCCGGCAGGGCCGGCAGGCTCTGAGCACCCCCTGCCCTGCTTTAGAGCAGATGGCTGTGGAGATTTACACACCCACGTGGTTCATGCACTGCTTCATCAACCAGGTAAGGCTGCCCAGGGACACTGGGTTCCAAGGCCTCCCTGTCTCCCACTCCTGTTGCCCAGGGAGGGACAAACCCCACTCTCAGATATACCAACTCCCTCCTGGGGAGCCCCGAGGGGCAGCCCAGAGCCCTCCTGGTGGGGGCCCAGGGCACCTTGAAGTCCCAGGGACCCACCGTTTCTGCCTGGCTCCCTTCGGGAAGGGTGGGTCAACCTGGGGTGCAGCTGAGCCATCATCATGATCTGCTGAGGTGTCCCCACCAAGAGGGTTAGCTGGTGTGCTGTCAGGCCCTAAGGACCCTGAGAGGCCTGGTGGGAACACCTTTGTCCACCCAGATGAGCAGTTCTGGGACCTTGTCTGATGAACGGTGGGACTGCACGGACCAGAGGCAGATGGGGTTTCTAACCCTGTGCTGGGACCCCCTGTCCCCTGCTCTAGCGGCCCCTCCCATGCCCATTGTCCCCACAGACCCCCCCTTTCTGCTGACCCTGAGGCTCTGGGATGCCTACATCCTGGAGGGTGGGCACTTGCTCATGGCCATGGCCTACACCGTCCTCAAGGTGCATAGGAGGAAGTGGGCCTGAGCGTGGAGCACAGCCCACGGAGGAGGGAGTGCCAGCCGAATGAAGGTGGTCAGGGTGCCCTGTGGTGAGCGCCCCTGGCTGGGGCCCTGCCTGGGGCTCTGTCGGGACAGACGGACCCCAGGTGTGGCGCACAATGGAACACAGCCGCCCCCTCACCACGGGAGGAGCCCCCCAGGGTAGTGGGCTGAGCCTTCCTCGTGGGTCCCCTGATGACCTGACGGCACCCCTACCCCTAGAACACCTCCTGAAGCTGCCCCTGGAAGGCCTGCAGGAGTTCCTACAGGACACCCTGGCCCGGGCCCTGGAGGACGAGGCGTGCCCATGCAGCTGCAGGCCTCCATGGCTGAGCTACCCAGGATGGAGTAAGACCTGCCCCTGCCCAGGTGGGCTCAGCCCTGGTCTCCCCCTGAGTCACCCTCTCAGGCAGTAGGGGGTGGGCGAGCCCCGGGCCTTCCCCTCACCCCCGACCATTTGCTCTTCTGGGCGGCCACCACAGAACCCAGAGGTTGGCGGCCTAGTGGGCTGTTCTCAAAGCTGGGCTGGCTCTGCCATGCCTGGCCCCACGGGCCCACCTTGTGCAGACCGAACATCCTGGAGGAGAAGCTGACTCTGTTCACTTACAGCTAAACCTGAGGAAATCCCCAGGCGGCCCTTGGGCCTGGAGTGACTGGTCCCAGACCCCAGGCCTTTCCTAATCCCTCCCAGCATCGGAACCCTAACCCTGGAGAGGAAGGGCTGCCCACCTGGCCACCTGAGCAGCCCGGACCTTCACCTGGCCAGGCCGCCCCAAATGCCAAGGAGCAGCCCCCTGAGGGGGCCACAGCTGCAGACCTGGCTCTGGGGGCCTGGAGGCTCCAAGTCTGGCCTGCCTGCCCCCCCCGCCCCGCCCCCAGGACAGCCCTCAGTATCGCCTGTGGCCACAGCAAATACAATTCCCTCCCAAACCTCCCAGTGATCTGTGAGGCCACAGGCTGGTGGGCTCCAGACCTCGGCTTTGAGCCAGATGCTGGGTCCCTTCCCCTTCAGTCCCTGCCTGGGCCACCCCCAGAGTCACACAACAGCCTGACCCCGTGACCCCACTGAGGCCCCAGCAACCAGCTCCACCCAGCCTGCTGAAGATGGCACCGATGGGCCCAGGACGCCCTTTGTGCCCTGAGGCAGCTGCAGCCAGCATCCCTTCCATGAAAGTGACCAGCACAGCCATGATGGAGCCAGGACAGTACCCCAAGAGCTGCGCCAAGGCCCCACACATCCGCATGACCCCGTGAGCTCTGTGTCCACAGGGAGTCTGGACGTTCAGGGGCCTCCAGAAGACAAGGTGACTGTGAGCACAGGGATTCCGAGGCTCCCTGGGACCCCCAGGCCCCCAGAAGCCAGCAACATGCCCTGCTTTTTCACACTGATCTGCTTGGAGGATGGGCCCTACCCCCACCCCCGTATAGCACAAGTCCCTGACTCCGAAGGGCCTGAATTTGGGCCCCAGGAAGGCAGAGGCTGTGTGAGCACCCCCCAGCCTGGACTGTGACTAAAGGGGCTGCCCCGGCTGGCCAGGAACTCTGGCTCAAGGCAAGGCAAGCCCTCTCGGAGCTGTATGTGATCTCCTGCAGCCTTTGGTGACCTTGGGAGCCTCTGGGAGCAACAGGCCACCTCCACACTCACACGCATAAGGAGGCGGGGCTCGAGCAGAGGGTGCTGCTGTTTGGGCTGACACGACACACTGTGTCCAAGGCAGTGACTGCCTTTTGGGGCCCCTCAATCTCAGCAAACACAACCCCACCCGGGGTCCAACTGGGCTCCCTGCCCCCAGCCATTCCCTATGAAGGTCTCCCTCCAGGGGACTGACAGACTGGTTTCAGTTTCCCCCCTTGCTGGTTAAAGGTTAATACATTTTCATGCATTAAGTGCTAGACTGGCTGGTTCTTGTAGCACCCAGATGTCTCCGAAGGATGCTCTCAGGGCCCCCAGAGGCAAAGGGGGCACCAGCTGGACAAAATGGGGGTTCCCAGCTGCCTCGTGGGAGGCCACAGGCACTGCAGACTCCGAGCTTCAGCCACACCCCAGGACCAAGGCCATCGGATAATTGACTGTGACTCCGCCTGTGTGCCCGGCGGGCCAGGACTGGGCTCAAGGAGAGCCACGGCTGGCGGGTGGGGAGCATCAGTCCCTGACAGCCTGTGCAGACTGTGTCGGCAGTCACTCTGTCCACCAGCCTGGGCTGGCCAGGCTCCAGTGGCACTTCCCTTCTTCCCTGACTCCTCCTCCCCACACCCAGCTCGCACACCCCCTCCCACATCACACTGGACACCTCTGTGCCCCTCCACACCTCTCAGGGGAGCAGCATCTGAGCCCAGGCAGCCTAGGGTCCCCTCCTCAGGTGGGCATGCTGCCGGATCTCACGCACCAGTGTGTGGAAGGGAGACGGCACCGGCTCAGGGGGAGCACTGCCTCCGCCTCGAGCAGAATCCCAGACCCTTCCCCATTCACCCCACAAATGGGGAGCTGGTCCCGCTTGTCTTGGGCTCCAGGGGCACCCCACTGGAATACGTGTCCTCAGCAGCCCTCCCACTGCCCACTGAGGGGTCAGGGCTGACCGGGACTTTGGGGCGCTCTGGGGGCACATGGGCCAGGGCCAAAGGGTCACTGCTCCCTCCTCCTCGGCTCAGGGCAGCTCTCTCTGGGGACCTTCACCTCCCCTGGGAGCTGTGTCGGCCCAGACCCGGGTCCTGGCCTCCCTTTCTGCCCCTGCCTCCCGGGGAGACTCACAGCTTGAGGGGCTGCTGGGTCACAGGAATCGCAGTGGGCTTCAGGGGGACCCTTAGCTGCAGCCAGAGGTAGAGCAGCTGCACTGTGTGGAGGGAGAAGGGGCAGTGAGTGCTGCTCCCAGGCAGTGGGGGTGGTCCAGGGCCCTGGCTGGCGAGGGGGCAGGGTGAGGGGGCTTCCACCTGGTGCATCTGGGCCAACGCATCACTGCAGGAGATGCTGCAGTTTTGGGTGAGGTTCTGGCCTGCTGAGACTCCATGGTACCGTGACCAGGTCACACTTGTTCCCACCAGCACCACAGGTATGTCATCCGAGTCCTTCGCCCACTTGATCTGTTCCCTACAAGGGGAAGGTGTGATCCAGTGGGCAGGCTGCGGGCTGGGCTGCACTTGGGGCCACAGAGAGAGGACAGGAAGCCCCTGAGGGCCAGTGGTCAGCTCACCAGGGCTGGTGGATGCCCTTGAAGGACTCGGTATTGTTGATGCAAACACCCAGAGGAAAGCCCTCTCTGGTGCTCATGTACTGGTCTCCATGTTGCTGACTCTCCTGGCCTGCCGTGTCCAGTAGGCAGGTCTCCCCATCAGTCACCACTTGCTTCCAGTAGGAGCTTAGAAACAGCCAGCCTTCCCGGTAGGGGACCCTCCCTCGCTCCTCTTGTGCCCCCAGGACCTAGGACAAGGGGACCCCTCCTGCAGAGCAGGTGGAGGACAAGCCCCTGTCAGGAGCCAGCCTGTGGACAAGAGTCAGCTCACCTCCAGGGTGGGGCTGTCCTCCACTGGGTGGTCCTCGACGAGCGGGATGGTCAGGGTGCCCTTCCTCATACCATGGCACCCACCACCACGAGCTTATCCTCTGGCATCACTCCTCAGGGGACCCCAGCCCCAGGCACTGCAGTGGTCTCCTGTCCCACTCACCGAGGAAACCCCACTCACACGCCCGCTGAGCTCCTGGGGCCAGGCTGCCCAGGCCAGGCCTGTCTTCTGGACCTGGACATCCAGGTATCAGGCATGGCAGCAAGAATGGTGGCCCAGGGACTTCCCTGGTAGTCTAGTGGTTAAAAATCTGCCTTGCAATGCAGGGGACAGGGGTTTGCTGTAGAGAAACTAAGCCCCACGCCAAAACTACTGAGCTGATAAGCGACGAGGAAAGATCCAACATAATGCAGTGAAGACGCAATATGCCACAGCTGAGACTCAGTGCAGCCAAATAAATAAATACGTTGAGGCAGTCTGAGCGTGGGTTGGAAAAGTTTCCAGGCACAGAGCATTTCATAAGGGAGGGTGTTTATTAAGAACAAAGAGCAGAGATGAAAAGGACACTGAGAGTGCAGCAGGCCAAACTCCTGACAGAGCAGGGAGGGTCGACAGTTCTCATGAGTTAATAGTCAATTTTTATAGCCTCTAGACAAAACTGCTATGGAAGGTTGGCACTAGGTGATTGGTTGGGGCACTGTAGGGTGTTTACTAGAGTGGGCATCTTTGTCTAACTGGGAGTCAGGAAGCTTGTTAGTGATGATCAGGGGGCTTTTGGCAAGGGTTACAAAGGGCCTCAGTTAGCTTCGGAGGTGACCTTGGTTCTGGGCTCTGCTTCTGTGGCCTAGGGGCAGGACTCAACAAAATATTTTTTAACAAAATGAGGGGAAAAAAATGAATGGTGACCCAGCCGCTCACCCGCAGTACCTCCAGCCCAGAGGTGTGAGGGGGCTCCTACCTCCAGCTACACTTAATGAGAGGAGCCAGCCCCCCAAAGGCAGGGCTGACAGTTGAGAACGTTCCCCCAAGCATGCGCCTGAATTAGAAGCTGCTGGAGAGGCAAAGAACTGAAACTGGAGGCGCTGTGGGCCCAAGATTATTCGCACCCTCTGGAGAACAGGTCTTGCCGCAGTGGCAGGCACAGCAGTGTGCCTGGACAGGATTGACAGTCAACACCTGGCTCCAGGCCCCCACTCCCACCCCTGGGTATGTTGGTGCATTTGGAAAGTGTTCACTGAGCACCTACTGCCTGCCAGGGGTTGTTCTAGGCACAGGGTGACCGTCAGACAGAAAGAACCCCTGCCCTGGCAGACTTGGGCTACCTCCAAGGAAAAAAAAAACCCATGTAGAAGAAAATAAAGGGAAACCCGTGAGGCCCCATTGCCAGATGAACTTTGGAGAACATAAGGCAGGTGCAGAGGTAGACAGGTGGGGGCCAGGGCTCCAGGAAGCAGAAACTTATCACAGGAAAAGACTCTGTGGGAGCTAGAGCATAGATGAGAAAGAAATGGCCCCTAGCTGGGGTGTCTCCAGTTTGTGGTGCTTCAAGAAGGGATCCCCTTGTGGGGACAGTGGGCAGTGACATTCTGAACCCCAGGTTCTCCTGGTATGTGTGGTGGCCACCAGATGTCCAAGCTTTTCGGAAGGATCCTTGGGGATCTGGTGTGTGGGAGACCCTGCCTATCACCGTGATCACACGGGGGTCTGCACTTGAGGGCACTCAGCGCACTTGTAGGACCCCAGAAGACAGCACCTGGGACCTGGAACCTTGAGGAGGTGATCTAGGCGAGGCACAGCGTATCCGCCGCCTATGGCTCACCACCGCCACCTTGTGCCCGCCTAGTAGAGGAGCTAAGATTCCACATGCCTCTTCAAGGAAAAAAACAAAGCATAAAACAGAAGCAATAATGTAACAAATTCAATAAAGACTTTTACAAGGGCCCACATCCAGAAAAATTTTAAGAGACTTCCCTTGTGGTCTGTGGGTTTCCCAAGTGGCACAGTGGTAAAGAGTCCCCCTGCCAATGCAGGAGACATAAGAGACACAGGTTCAATCCCTGGGTTGGGAAGATCTTCTGGAGGAGGAAATGGCAACTCACTCCAGTATTCTTGCCTGGAAAATTCCATGGACAGAGGAGCCTGGTGGGCTATAGACCATGTGGTCGCAAACAGTCAGACACGATTGAGCACACACAACCTAGTGGTCCACAGGCTGGAACTCCGAGCTCCCAGTGCAGAGCTCCTGGGTTCTATCCCTGGTCAGGGAACTAGATCCCACATGCCACCACTAAGAGTTCAAATGCCGCAACCACGACCCAGTGCAGCTAAATAAATAAATTTTAAAATATTTTTTTAAAAATTAATAAATAAATATTAAGAAAAGAGAGGATTGGAAAATGTTCTTGTATCAGTCAAGTGTTTCTTTGGCTCCTACAGACAAGCACACACAGGCTCCAGGCTCTGTACATGCCAAGTCACTTCAGTCATGTCCAACTCTCTGCGATCCTGTAGACTGTAGCCGGCCAGGCTCCTCTGTCCATGAGATTCCCCAGGCAAGAATACTAGTGGGTTGCCATGCCCTCCTCCAGGGGATCTTTCCATCCCAGCGATGGACCTGGGTCTCCTGCATTGCAGGGAGATTCTTTACCTTCTGAGCCACCAGGGAAGCCCAGGCTCTGTGGGCCTCCAGTACCCAAGCACCTCCCCGGGCAGCCCTGTGTGTGGGGCTGCAGGTGAGACTGGGAGCTGTGGTCTCTGCCTGGCCTGGGCAGACAGAGGGTGGGTTCAGAGCCTCCCTCCTCCACACTGAGCCCCACTGTGCACAGTAATGGCCTACTAGGGACCAAGTGCTTTCTGATGTTGCTAATAGCCTCGAGTAGGTTGTGCTCCTGTTTACAGAGAAAGAATCTGAGGGGTGGAGAAGGCACTTCACCTATCTCAGGTCAGTCCCAGATCCCCTGAGTGTAAAAGCTGAAACTCAAATACGTCTTTATTATTAGTCACCATGCTGTACATTACATTCCCATGACAGCTTTAAAAATTTTTCTTTTAAAAATTTATTTATTTTTAGCTGTGCTGAGTCCTTGCTGCTGCATGGGCTTTTATTTGTGGCAAGCAGGGGCTACTCTAATTGCAGAGCACAGGCTGCTCATTGGGTTGGTTTCTCTTGTCGTGGAGAACTGGCCCTATGGTGGGCTTCAGTAGGTGCTGCATGTGGGGTCAGTAGATGTGGTGTATGAGCTTAATCACCCTGGGTCATGTGGAATCTTCCCAATACGTGATTAGTCACTCAGTCATGTCTGACTCTTTGTGACCCTTTGGACAATTCCCGCCAGACTTCCTCTGTCCTTGGGATTTTTCAGGCAAGAATACTGGAGTGGGTTGCCATTTCCTCCTTCAGGGGATCTTCCAGACCCAGGGATGGAATCCAAATCTCCTGTGTTTCCTGCATTGTAGGCGGATTCTGAACCACACCAGGGAAGCCCTCATGACTGCTTTTATAACATGAAGATTGTACAGTTTAGCCCACTTCACTCATGTTTGTGCAACCCCCAACCCCCTGCCCCTGGCAACCAGTAACTTGTTCTCTGTACCAACGAGCTAGATACTTTTTCCTTTAAAGATTCCACATTTAAGTGAGATCATACATTTGCCTCTTTCCTGACATTTCACTTAGCATAATACCTTTGAGGTCCATCCATGCTGTTGCAAATGACAAGATTTCCTTTTTTAATGGCTAATATTCATATATATATATAATGTAATATATGGCATATCATCTTTATCTATTCTTCTGTGGATGGGCACTTAGGTTGATTCCATATCTTGGCTATTTTAAATAATGTTAACTTGAACATAAGGGCACATATATCTTTTCAATTGTTTTCCTTTTCTTTCTGTAAATACCCAGAAGTGGAATTGATGGATCATATGGTAGTTCTATTTCTAATTTTTAAAAGAAATTTCATACTGTTTTCTTTAGTGACCACACCAGTTTACACTCCCACCAACAGTGCCTTAAGAGTTCCCTATTCTCCACATTCTGGACAACACCTGGTATTTCTTTTTTATCATAGCCATTCTATAGGCGTGAGGTGTTATCTCCTTGGGGTTTAAAATAACATCTCTGATTAGCATACAACTTTTCCTGTACCTATTATTCTGTATGTACTTATTGTTTCATGTACTGTATGTCTAAGGAAAAACTTTCAGATTTTCTGCCCACTTTTTAATGGGGCAGATTTGTTTTTGCTGTTGAGTTATATGAGTTCTTCATGAAGTTTAGATATTTTAAAGTGAAAGTGTTAGTCACTCAGTCGTGTCCAACTCTGTGACCCCATGGACTGTAGCCCACCAGGTTCCTCTGTCCATGGTATTCTCCAGCAAGAATACTGGAGCAGGGTGCCATTTCCTTCTCCAGGGGATCTTCCTGACCCAGAGACTGAACCTGGGTATCTTAGCATTGCAGGTGGAGTCTTTATCGTCTGAGCCACCATTAATTCCTCAGCAGATACATGATTTGCAAATATTTTCCCTCATTTTGTAGATTGTCTTTTCATTTTGTTGATGTTTTCCTTTGCTGAGCACAAGTTTTTAGTTTGATATAGTCTCACGTATTTTTGTTGCCTTTCTTTGGTGTCAATTCAAAAATATTATCCCTAAGACTGATGTTAAGCTAGCTATTGCCTATGTTCTGTTCCAGTTTTTTGTTTCAGGACTTATGTTTTAGTCTTTAATCCATTTTGATTTAATTTTTGTGGATGGTGTAAGATAGTGGTCCAGTTTTCCCAACACCATTTATTGAAGAGACTGTCCTTTCCTTATTATATATTCTTGGCTCCTTTGTGGTAAATTAATTGACCACAAAGGAGCATTTGTAAATAAACCTGTGGGTTTATTTCTGGGCTCTGTATTCTGTTCCATTGATCTGTTTCTGTACTGTTTTAATAGCTTTGTAGTATGCAGTATTAAATCCAGGTTAAATCACACAGTATGATAAATTCAGCTTTGTTCTTTCTCGAAATTACTTTAGCTATTTGGGATCTTATGTGGTTCCATACAAATTTCAG